CGTAGGTGTTTGTCCTTCCTCAACCGCTCGAGGTCGATACGGATTGGGCTGCTTCCGCTGTTCCCCCGCACTCGTCGGTTGGGTGCGACACCGAGGGGGAGGCGGACAGTCATAAGCACGAGGTTGTGGTCAGAGTCCTCGAAGTCGACACGTTTGACGGAGACATTACGCACGAAACGCCGGTCCGTCTGACGCATGAGGATTAAGTCGAGGCGGTACTTCTCCTTCCCCGTGTTGGAGCTCTGGAATGTGTGCTGCACTCTGCCTTTCGGTGTCCGGAAGTAGGTCTTGGTCAGGGAGAGTTGGTTGTCTGATGCTAGGCCAAGGAGTCGTTCCCCGTTGTTGTTCATAATGTCGCGTCCGTACCCGCCCATAATCTTGGCATCGCAGCACCCGTCTCGCCTCCTACCAGTGCGTGCGTTGGCGTCCATTAGCACCACGAGATGGTCACGGCTGTGAACCTCCCAGATCGCTGCGTCGAGAGCAGTCCAGAAGGAATCCTTGGCGTTGGCTTAACATCACCGCCCGCGGTGGTGCGGACAGTTTTCGTGGGGGCGTACCCTTCCACGAAAGCTACTCCGCAGGTGCGGCCAATTTGTAGACGCACCTTCATCAGCCTCGGGCTAATGCACTCCACCGTCCTACCTTCCTCGCCCACACTCTCCCACATGGCCTCCTTGATCGCTATGCCCACACCGTGTATGCCCCTCTTGTCCTTGGTGCCAGCACGGTCGCCACTCCAGATGATCACGTACCCGTCATGCGCAATTGAACATTGCCCCTCTCGTTGGGTCTCCTGAAGTCCTATCACATCACAGCCGGTCGCGGAACAAATCTGCATGACCGTCATCACGTTGTGACCAACGGGGTTCCTACCGCTGTAGACGAGCATGCGTACGTTGAACCCGCCGAACGATAGGTCGCCCTCCCGTGCCTTCTCCTTCGCAACCGCCTTGACGGCCGCTGCGGTCTCGTGTCTCGCTTCGTCCGCCTCGCGTTGCGGATGTGCTTTCTTCCGTATTGTCCGAGCGGCGAGTTTCCTCGTATCAATCCATCTCTGCAGAGCTCGGTTCTAGTTTGTTGTGTTTTGACGAGGAGGGTGCAGCACTCCCCCCCGCAGTGCCCACGGTTATCTTCCTTCTCCCGCGAGCGGTGCTTACTGACGTGGTGTTTACGAATCTCTCTACTCTTCCAGATTCGTGGGCCACGCTTTCCGCGACGGTGGTTGCCAGGTGCAGTTTGCCGCTTTGCATTACTGCCGCGGGAACAGTGTCCATACACACCTCTCGCCACTACCACCGTCTGTGCATCCTCACCGCCACGCTGAGCCAGCGCGGCGGTGAGTTGCACCTTGGGACACTACCCGCCTACTATCTGTAAAACATGGTGATTAAGTCGCAAATGCTGTCATATGTGTCCCGTGATTGATCCTATGGTGTAGTCGGTAACACTGCAGACTCTGAATCTGCCCCCCTGAGTTCGGGTCTCAGTAGGGTCACTTTTTTCTCCCGTCGCCTAGACATGGGTTCTCGCCGCGGGGCAACCGCGTTGTGATGTACAATACGCTAGACTATCTGAAAAACACGGTGATTAAGTGGCAAAAGCAACTTGCCCTTCTTCCCCTCGCTGCCTCGGGAAGGGTATGACTTCCCCTTGCGTAGGTATGACCCATAGCGAGGGGGGGGGTCTTTCTAGCGAGCAGGGCTAGACTCACCCTCAAGGGGCCGATATCTTCTTGCTGCGGCGCACCCGCCGCGAGGCGTGCGTAATGGTGGAGTTGGGTCGGCACTGGTGCGTCAGGTACAAAGGTGCAGATGCGCGGGCCTCCAGGCCGTCGGTGCAGGCAGCAATGCCCATCTCATCTTTGTGCGCGGAGGCCGACGTCATCAGAAAGGTGGACGGGCACTATGTACACGGCCCTAGGTTTGCTAGAGGGAGCTGTACTGTCTCAGTAACCTGGTTTTGCCATCAAAGGAGGAGGGGACAGGTGGTGACGAGCTGATTGGGCTGGTTGACCCTTCGGCGCGAGAATTTTCAGACCAAGAACCCTAAGTGCAACGAGGGAGAAAGCAAGGAACCGACTGGGAAGGATAGCAACGAGAGCGTGTACGAAGCGGCGCGGGTCGAGTTTGGTCGTGCTAGGACTGGCCACAGCGGCACCGGAGCAGCGGCACCGGAGCATGCGGACGGCATCGAACCGTGGCGCACGGACAAACATCTCTTGTGTTGTCAATTATTTTCCGCTTTTTCCTGAGTATAGGTGTTGGGTGTGTGTGATGACGTCACTGGTTTTGTAGAGAGACGCGGCAGAGATGGCGCGGATAACCCGGGTGCCTTAATTGTGTACCTGCATCGTGGAAGACTCCTTCAATGTGGAACGATTCCTAGTCAGTGTCGATGCGGGGGAACAGCGGAAGCAGCCCAATCCGTATCGACCTCGAGCGGTTGAGGAAGGACAAACACCTACGGGTCTCCTTCCAAGACAGGGCCTCCAGCCGCCCTCCGCCTACGGTGCCCAGGGGGTCAACGGAAGAGACCGCCGCCGAGCTGACGCCTACGGTGATGTCGGCCGCTGCTGAGACCGCGCCGCTGGCGAGGTGCGCACGAGGGCAGAGAGGCTGGTACACCAGCGAAGCGCAGCACGAGATCTCCGAAGCGTCTAAGGAGATTAAGGCGGCCCAGCAGCAACTGCATGGGGCCTCGAAGAACAGCGCCTTCGAGGCGACCCTGAAGGCGATGCTCAAGGCGGCGCGGAAGAAGCGCAGCATCGCGAGGTGGAGAGCACTGGAAACGTTCTTCGAGGGCTATGTACGGCAGGTCGAGAAGAAGAGCCGCGAGGGGNGGGAAACGTTCTTCGAGGGCTATGTACGACAGCTCGAGAAGAAGAGCCGCGAGGGGGATGAGGCGGGTTTCAACAGGCACCTGAAGATGATCGACGTCGAAGGTAAGAGGTCGTTCACCTCTCAGAACATCAAGGACGAGGACAGCAAGGTCCTTCGGGACCCCACGTTTATTCGCCAAC